TTTTTATTTTAGATCCTATATGTAGACCTGGTTGGCTGGGAACTTGTGGCAATCTTCCTGTCTGCCTCACAACTGATGGGATGACTGGCATGTGGGGCTACACCTGATCAAAGTCAGCGTTATCACCCAGAGACAACATGTATGCTGAGGCCTTTTGTGGATGAACTTATTCCTTCCTTCCTTCCTCCCTCCCTCCCTCCCTCCCTACCTCTCTCCCTCCTTTCCTGCCTCCCTCCTTCCTTTCTTCCTTACTTTTTTGGTTTTTCAAGACAGGATTTCTCTATGTAACAGTGCTAGCTGTCCTGGAACTCGTTTTGAAGATCAGGCTGACCTTGAACTCAGAGATCCACCTGCCTCTCAAGTGCTGGGATTAAAGGCACACCCCACCACTGCCTGGCTTGGATGGGGTTTTGCTGTGTAACCTAAGCAGGCCTTGAACTTGTGATGAGGTTCTCCTGCGGCAATTACAGGCATGCAGCATCATGTCTGGCTATTGGCAAACTTCTGCCCTTGGTCATATATTAATTGTAATTCATGCTCCTTTGAGCTACATTAGAACTGAATATGTGATTTCTCATCCACCCTAGTATCTAAGTTTCATTTGTTACCACCAAAATGTGAACAAATGCCAAGTGAATAACAGTGGTTTAGAAAGGTTGATTTCTGATTCCCGTAAAATGAGTAATTAGTAATTCATTTCCAGATATTTTAGCTACTGATGTGCTATTACTAGTTTGCTAGTATAGCTTTACCTTCTAGATACTAGAAGTTTTCTAATCCATTACTGATGTGGGAGTGTCATATATCAATCTGTTGATTTCATTGGTTAAGCAATAAAGAAACTGCTAGGCCCTGTGGGTGGAGTAAACAGAACAAAATGCTGGGAAGAAGAGGAAGTGAGGTCAGACTCCACAGCTCTCCTCTCAGGAGCAGAGAGATGCCATGCTCCGCTCTCCTGGGCAGACACATGCGATGAAGCAATCCGCCAGGTTAGACATGCTGAACCTTTCCCGGTAAGACCGGTGCTCACAGATTATTAGAGATGGGTTGATCGCGATGTGAGAATTAGCCTGTAAGGGCTAGAGCTAAAGGGCCAAGCAGTGTTTAAATGAATACAGTTTGTGTGTTGTTATTTCGGGTAAAGCTAGCCGTGGGGGCGGCCAGGTGCTGGGGACGCAGCCCGCCGCCCCTATTACTACACATTACCAATTCTTAGTTAGTATAACATGGACCACAGATCAACAACTGTTTGCATATGGGTTAGATACTGAAATAGATATTTTAAAAGAACTATAACAATAGGCAAAAGTGTTAGAGACTGTATGGGGCTCACAGAGGCATCCGACTCTTTATAAAGACTTTTCTCACATTAAACAGACAATGGATAAAGTGGGCCCAATAATTCAGATATACAATTAGCTAGTCTTTATTTTGGTAATTCTACCCTTAGATGCTTGAGCAGTACTATCTCTATTGGCCCTTCCACCATACAATGGTGCTATGTGTACTAAATTTGATATTCCTCCTTTAGTTATTAATACAATTAGCCTTTTAAGTGAGGAGAGTCCTTAACCATCCCCTTCCCTAACCCTTGTGAGACAGGGTCTCTCTGTGTAGCCCTGGTTGTCCTGGAACTCTCTCTGTAGACCAGGCTGGACTCAAACTCAGGTGATCCATCCGCCTCTGCCTCCCGAGACTGGACTAAAAACACAGGCCATCACTGCCCAGAACAGTCCTTATTTTAAATTCACAACTCACAGAGCTTCTTTCAGATGAAGCCAGTTTTCATTTATTTATGTAGGTAACATTACTGAGACATACTTAATGATTACCTTTTATTACTATGAACATTGCCATAATTATTATGTGCTCATTTAAGCTAATTATATTTATAATTTTATAGAGAAACAGTACAAACTAATAAAAACACTTTAATTGTAGTACAGTGTTAACAAGTCCCGAAACAAAGTACTCCAGATTTGTGAGGCACCCAGAAAGCTGCTGCAGAAACAATGAGAGATTAACTGGGAATCTACCAGATGTAATTCATTAGTTATAGGGGGACTTTGGAGTCGATTAACTGATAAGACAAAAAACCTTTGTGCCATCCAGAAGTAGTCAGCTAAAAACATTAATCTATAACGTGGGGATTCTAAGACATTGAGAAAGTCTGTTAACTAGAAAGAACAGTGACTGATAAACGCGGACAAAATACACCTGGTGGATCACTCCTGGGATCCAGAAAACTAGCTGGAGATCAAGGCTCCAGGAGTTTAACCAGCCCAGCTTCTAAGGAAGGGAAAGGCTGTGTTTAGTAGACATAATTACTCTGCTACAGCCTGGGACACAAATATGGATTTCTAAGTCTTCACAGGTAGGGCCCAACTTCAATGAGTTGGCAGTCGGTCTGGGTTTATAATGGACAAAACATGAGAATGTCTGGGATCGCTCGCCTCTCCTTCCCTCATTCCATACTCACTCAGAAGTTTTTTAATTCAAAGGGCCCACTGCTAAACTATATGTGGAAGAGGCTACAGTATTATTTCTGACTTTAGAAATACAAATCTAATCTTTTTTTTTTTTTTTTTTTTTTTGAGTCAAGTTCTCTCATCCGAATTCTGGGTTGGCCTGAAACTCACTATGTGAGCTATGCTGCTGGGCCTCCCAAGAGCTGAGCACTAAACTGAGGTGTCCGAGTGAGGGGCACACACAGCGTTGCTCGGTGCGCAGGTGCCGCTAACTCTAGGCTCGCACTGCCTCTTTTGCTTTCCAGAGTTTCAGTTCCCTACCCAAGTATTTCATGGAGTTTGAAGAGCTAAGAAGATAACCAAGTTGGAGAGATAAAGAATTGATCTCTTTCTCTTCAGCAAGTGTGTGCTGAAACAGTAGCTGTGGGGAGAAGGCACAGAAAGGCATGGAGACAAAGGGCTGAGTGAGAGGAAGGACCTAGAGCAAGCACAACTGGGGACAGGTAGAGCTGCTGACGTGCACGGGGAAGCTCATGGCCACGGCTGCTGGGACTCCCAAGCTGCCTGTGTGGAGACTGCTCACAGGAGACACCTATGGACCCTGACAATAGGTTTCCATTGTTTGACAGAGACTGGAGCTAAGGCTTTGCGGTGGCTCGGGTCTATAATCCTAGCACTGTGGGGGCAGACACAGGAATGGGAGTTTGAGGCCAGCCTAGCAAAGTCTTCTATGAGACTTTCTAAACACCCAAGGGCTGGAATTGTACCTCAGAGGAAGAATCCTTGCCATGAACAAGTGTGCAAGAAGGATGTTCAGTCCCTAGCATGGGAGGAAAAGGAAAGGGGGTTTGATTATATGATTATAAATGTCTTCCATATCACTGGTCTTGAAAGCCTGATCAATGTGTGTAAGGAGAAGGCGGGGGTCACAAATCCTGAACTTGTTTTTTTCTTTCTTTCCCTCCTGAGACACAGTTTCTCTGTGTAACTCTGGCTGTCCTGAAACTTGCTTTGTAGATCAGACTGGTCTTGAACTCACAGAAGATAATCTGCTTGCCTCTGCCTCCTCAGGGCTGGGATTAAGAGCCTGTGCCATCACCGCCTGGGTTCACCTTGTTTCCCCTCCCCCACAACTTGTTTTTATAAGCATCTAGAGGACTTAAGTTGAGGTTCAAGGACTTACTGAATTAGAATATTAAAATGTTTTTTCTGATACTGAGTCTTGTAGGATGGCAAGTTAATCCTCCCCACCCACCTTTTTTTTTTTTTGAAAACCATAATAAGGGCTGGAGAGATGGCTCAGTGGTTAAGAGCATTGCCTGCTCTTCCAAAGGTCCTGAGTTCAATTCCCAGCAACCACATGGTGGCTCACAACCATCTGTAATGGGGTCTGGTGCCCTCTTCTGGCCTTCAGGCATACACACAGACAGAATATTGTATACATAATAAATAAATATTAAAAAAAAGAAAACCACTATAAAGTAATCAAAAATGCCACTCGTTTTCTGTTGCCCTTTTATTCCTTTTTGTAGTATTTGTTGAAACATATACTTTTTAATATTTCCTAAAGTATTTTCTGCATATTTCTCCATCCCTTTCTTCCAGACAGGGTTCCACTAATTTCAGGCTGACCTCCAATTCACGTTGCAGCTGAGGTTGGCCTTGAATTCCTGATTCTCCTTTCTCCACCTCCCACATTCCAGGAGTACAGGTATGTTATCAAGCCCTTTTAATTTTATTGTAAAAGTTATTTCCAAATAGAGTCTCATCAATTTGAGCATACTGGTCTAGAACTTAACAATCTCCAGTCCTAAGCCTCCCAAGGTGGCTGATGAAGCAGGCGTATACTGTTCTATCTAGCTCCAGTTAATATGAACTGTTTGTATTCTTTATGGAAGAGCCATCATAGTATTTATAAGTAAGTGGGAGCAGGTGCTACTTTTCATCCTTTTATTCTCATGTAAATTAAAACATTATGGTCTGGGGAGACGGCTCAGTGGGTGAAGTGCTTGCCACACACGCGTGAGGGCCCGAGTGTGGATTCCTAGAATCCACTAATGCAGGACGCAGCAATGCAAGTCTAGAACCTCAGTGTTCTATGGATGGCATGGGAGGTAGAGACTGAAGACGCCCAGGAAGCCTGAGCGCCAGGACCAGCAAACAAGTTGTCCTCTAGCCCTGATGAGGAGTGGCTCACATGGTCCCTATGAACATGGACAGACACCTAAATCATGTGCCTATACAAGATAAAAACCATGCAGAATAAATTTGAGTCCCTTGTGATTGTTCCTGTCGATGGGAGAAGGAAAGGTGTAGAATTAGGAGAATTTCTAATCAAGTTCACGATGCTAATTAGAAACATAAAATGCAATACTCATATTATGTACATCTTTAGGAAAGGGATTAATATAGACATTGCAAGGCCTTTGCCTAATATTGCCCAAATTAATTTAAAACAAATACGAATGAGAAGAAAAATATATCTAGTGAGAACCAGAGCTTAAAATTCTAAATATTTTTAGCTGTACTTACAAATAGCGTTGGCTTGGGTATAAACACATTGTCTTCATGTTCTCTTGGCATGTTCAGAATCTTTGATGCTTGATTTTCTGTAACACCTTTTGATTCCACTTTAGAAAGAAGTAAGTTGTTCTCAGAATGTTTACTACACATATTAGTGATGATCTGTTTCATGGCCGCAAATTCCTGTTGAGAGATGAAAACAAGAAAGTAGCAAGTGTGATTTTTGGCAAAGAGACTAACAATGATTGACATGAAAACATTTATTTTAGGGAGAAAAAATATTTGAATAATTATAATACATATATGAGGAAAGTTGAGAAAACAAAATATTAATGTACAAGAATTGTGCACATGACTTTTAAAATAGTAAACATGCCATGACTTTCAGCATTACAAATGACTTTTCTAGGCTAGTGGTTGCTAGTTTTTCTGCATATTGGAGTCACACATGGAACTTCAAAAACAACTCATGGTGTGTGTTTGTCACATCTGTGACTGTGACACAGTGGAGTTCCACTGCAGTTTTCTGGTGTATCTGTTGAGTAGAGTATTAATAGCGATTATTATTCTATTGGTAGAAATCAAACCCAGGCCTTGTGCATGGCAGACAGCCTTAGCCTGGTAATCTTTTCCTCCCTCTTAAACCATCCTCTTACCTTATCAAGTCTGAAATGAAGAAGGCAGAGAAATAGAACACAGAATGGTTTTCCATGACGACTAATCACAGTTTACTTCAAACAGTGAGTTTAGTATAAAGCTTCAGCATTTATTTAGCAGTGGTATTTCTGTAGCCTTTTACAAATGGTAAATGGAGCTGGCTAGAGTTGCCATTTTTAATGTGTCTAGTCCTAGGGGATTGAGTCCAGGGCCTTGTGCACGCAGCCAAGTACTTTACCACTGAGCTACACCCCATCCTGTCCAGTTGCCTCTCCAGAATATTTATTTCCTTACTTGAGACAGCACTATGCTAGGATGTCAGGCTGGCTTGGCTTTTACTTTGTAGCCCAGGATGGCCTTGAACTCAGGACAGCCCCCTCCCTTTGGCCTTCACAGTGTTGTCACTTGGATTTTAATTTGCCTTTTGAGTGAAAAATTAATCTGCTGAACTTTTTGAAGAATGTAGAGTAAAATTTGCAATGATGTCTTCTCGAACCTATTATTTTTCCTCACAAATGTCTGGGTCTTCATTAGTGGATACTTCGATTACTTGCCAAATTGATGCAGCAGATACAAACCCCGGGGAGGTGGCGTGCTCCTCTACTTATCTGTAGAATAACAGTGGGCTCTGAACTAGGTATGGTTTTATCTTCATGCCAACACACCAACGTGGGGCCCTAGAAGGATGCCCTGTTCCATGCTGCTGATCTGTTTATAGACGGCAGCTCCATGTCAGAGCAAGTCCCTACAGGCTCTCTCTTCTGGCTGCCAATCGTTCTATTTAGAACCACCTAGCTGGAGCAGGTATTTTGAAACAGACTGCGGAGTTTGAGCCATCTACTAGATGCCTTACTAGAATCCAGGACACGGACGGGGGAGCAGTGTAATGCTGGACTCCTCCTTCCGACCTGCAGCGCCAATGTCTTGCTCAAAGCACAGACGACTGTGCACCAATACAGTCCTATGGCTATCTGGGCTTTATGAGACTCACTTGGCTTTCAAGATTGAGTTATTTAATCTGTGGTAAAGAATGCAGCCACTGATTTAATGCTAAGTTTATTCAGTTACAATGGATTTTATTTTGTAATTTTTTTTTTCTTGACAAGGTCTCTGGTAGCCCAGGCTGCTCTAATTTCTTTTGTCACCAAGGATGACTCTGGATCCCCTCAGCCTCCCCTGTAGTACCTGTAGTTCCCAAGATTGTCCAGATTCTTATTATGCTGTTCTTTGAGACTGCTTTTCTTTTCTTTTTCAGGTAGGGTTTTAGTGTGATCCAGGGTTAACTAGAATGTTTTACATAACTCAGACAGGCCTCAGGATCTGTTTACTTAGCTTTCTGAATACTGGGATTATACATACATACAGGCTTAAACACCAACCTTAGTTAACAGGATGGATGCTCTACTGCTTTTATGACTGATGCATAGCTAGTATCCTGAAATTTCTTTTATTGGGTATATTGGCAAGTTCTATCTTCTATTCTTTCTTTAAAGCCTGTTTTGCACTTATTGTATATATGTGTGCATGCATGCGTAATGCATGTGAGCCTCGGTTGAGGCTTCAGGGATCAAACTCAGGTCTCCAGAACTCAGTGGTAGGTGTCTTCTTAGCTCACCGAACCATCCCATCAATTCAGTTTTATTGTTTCTTGAAACCATTTGTTCTTCGATCACCTTTCAATAGACATTTTATTAATCCCAACCCTCTACTGTCTTTCTAACATTTTCAAGACTTTTTCTATTATTTAGTCCAGGCTGGACGTGTACCCCAGGCTGGTATGGACTCCCTGATGCTTGAATTACAGGTGAGTTTCATCCAACCTTACTTACTTTATTAATTTTCTCAGCATTATGGCGAAAAGTACTCTGCTTTGACAGTATAACTTCTGTGACTTAGAAATCAAACTTGGCCAGGCGGTGGTGGCGCACGCCTTTAATCCCAGCACTTGGGAGGCAGAGGTAGGTGAATCTCTGTGAGTTCGAGGCCAGCCTGGTCTACAAGAGCTAGTTCCAGGACAACCTCTAAAGCTACAGAGAAACCCTGTCTCGAAAAACCAAAAAAAAAAAAAAAAAAAAAAAAAAAAAAATCAAACTTGGAGTTGGAGGCATCGGATTCATCTTCCTTGAAAATGTCATTTCCTCTGGAATCTTCTGTCATTTAGTTCCAAGCTTTAACAGGATTCCTTCATGTTTCCTGTAGCTTTCTAATATAATTCAGTCATTCATGGTTTTTCTAGACATGGTTTCTCTGTGTAACAGTTCTGGCTGGTCTGGAACTTGCTTTTGTGCTTTTGTAGACCAGGCTGACCTTGAACTCGCTGAGGTCCACCAGCCTCTGCCTCCCAGGTGCTGGGATTAAAGGCATGTGCCACCACTGCCTGGAGTTATTTTTATTTAAAATAATTTCCCATCCCTGAATATTCTTTTTTTAAATATTTTTTTTAAGATTTATTTATTGTGTATACAATGTTCTGCCTGCATATGTCCCTGCAGGCCAGAAGTTGGCACCAGATCTCATTACAGGTGGTTGTACGCCACCATGTAGTTGCTGGGAATTGAACCCAGGACCTCTGCAAGAACAATCAGTGCTCTTATCCGCTGAGCCATCTCTCCAGCCCCTCATCCCTGAATATTCTGAGACTATTTCCCTCTTAGCTTGGCTGTCTGGGAACTGGAGATGTTCCAGCTGAGGGTACAGGAGAGCACTATGCCAGCTGCACTTCGGGATTCGATGTTAGAGGGTTTTTTTTTTTTTTTTGGAAAACATCACAACATTTTGCTGTTTACTATGTTATGGAAAGATTACCTTCTAAAATATTTCTGAAGAAATGAACTTTAATATTTTGCATGCCCTCTTCCGTTCCAGTTACTCACCACTCCTGACATGAGAGGAAGGAACTTAATATCTGTCAGTTATGAAGTCTTTGCTTTGTGCTATTATTTTTATCCTAGGTCCTTATGGTTTTTTAATTTTGATTTCTAACTTCAGAATGAAGTACAGCTTACATGGTTTCTTTCTGCTGCTGTTAGGGCTGTTTGCGAGAATGACAGGGTACATCTGAATGACACAGTTTATCTGAAGAAGACACTGGCTATGTATCCGTCCCCGTTCAGGTAGGTATGACGGACTTTCTAGCAGATCTCACTCCAGGGCCATCATGAAGGATGCAGGATTCTTCCCAAAGAGTTAGTGTCCCTTCATCCTTCCTTATTCCAGCTTATTCTTGGCTGACAATTACTTTAGGGGGTCATTTCCAAAAATTAAAAAATTCTGTCTTTCTGGTATATAAATATAAAATTAATATAATGATGGAAAGGAATAAATTAGCCAATGAAGAACTGTTTGACCACTCAAATAAAACTAAGGCCAAGTAAAAGATAAAACAAAACTGGGCGGTGGTGGCGCACGTCTTTAATCCCAGCACTCTGGAGGCAGAAGCAGGTGGATCTCTGTGAATTTGAGGCCAGTCTGGCCTACAAGGGCTAGTTACAGGACAGGCACCAAAGCTACAGAGAAACCTTGTCTCAAAAAACCAAAACAAACAAGCAAGCAAACAACGGACAAAACAAAACAAAAAAAGACAATATTGTAAGCTGGGTGTGGTAGCAATCCTAAGCACTCAAGAGGCGAAGGAAGGAGGACTGAGGATTCAAGGCCAGTGTAAGCTACCTGTGGAGGCCACCTCCACCCTTCCCCCCCCCCCCCGCCCCCCACAGAGATACTCTCTTGCTGTCTCTAGACTGGCAGAATGAAAGCAACAGACACTCTTATGACGTTTGCTATGATGGTGACTGTGACCGCACAGTCTGTGAGACATTGCTCCCTGGAATCCCAGAGCACACATCTTGGACAGAGGGGTGGCATGCTAGCACAGCTCATCCACCGAGCAGCTGCCTAATGGCACTGCATTCTGATGCCAATGAATTGCACACAGCTGTAAACTCTGCAAAGATGTTGGCAAGGGGACACATAGATAGCATTTCTTGATGAAAATAGCTCTGACAAGTAGAATGCAAACTATGTGCTCCCCTGGAGCACAAGGAAGTGTTTTTATACATGAGGAACAGCATGTCAGGACCAACAGGCCAGACAATTCTGTACATCTTTGGCCTTAGGTTATACAAGGTAGAATCCAACCTGGCTTTAAGTCATGAACATAGTTCATATAGCCGGGCTGTGGTGGCGCACGCCTTTAATCCCAGCACTTGTGAGGCAGAGGCAGGCGGATCTCTGTGAGTTCAAGACCAGACTGGTCTACAAGAGCTAGTTCCAGGGCAGGCTCCAAAACCACAGAGAAACCCTGTCTCAAAAAACCAAAAAAAAAAAAAAAAAAAAAGACTTCGGGTAGACTGTGTTTAATTCTGAACCCGATATGCAGCATAGACTCCTCTTCCTTCTCGCCACCACCTGTCCCTTCCTCCCCCCCCCCCCCCCAGATAGGGCTAGGCTGGAATCAGTTAAGTAGACCAGACTAACCTAGGATTCACCAACCTCTTGCTGCCTCATGAGTGCTGGGATCATAGCAA